TGAACCCTTATTCAGTTAATGAGATATCCTGGTGTTATCCATTTTGCCCTGAAGACTTATGCCAATTTGCTCCCTATCCCCTCCAGAAAAATTGGATCATGCGATATGCTTTTCTTACTGCTATTGTATTGATGACATTAATGGAGAAACAACTAGGGCAACAAAAAAATCATCCATGCTGTTTGGCGTACAACAAATAATGCCTGGACTGGAACCTCGTTGAAATGGACAGCAACCTTTTTGATGAAAATATTTAATGTGATAAAATTCATCGCGAATTGATCACAATTATCAGATAATGACAATAATTATGTTGTATTCTGTTAATGGAATGTGAACAGAGGAGTGTGCAGCATTATTCACATGATTTTTCACAGATATATTAGTTTGATTGAATGCGCAAATGAATTGATCGTTTAAAAAACAGTGGCGATGCGATAAAAACTTTATCTTTACTCGGAATCATCGGATGACTCCTCTGAGGACTCGTCATCCTTAGCACCTTTGCCCTTCTTTGCCTTCTTCTTCTTTTTCTTCTTGTCGTCATCGTCATCGTCCTCTTCGTCTTCCTCCTCTTCCTCTTCCTCCTTCTTCTCCTCCTTTTCTGCCTTCTTCGGTTTCTTCTTCTCCTCTTCCTCGCCCTCCTCTTCCTCCTCCTTCTCCTTCTTCTTGGACGGTTTTTTCTTCTCCTTCTTTTTCGGCTCTTCCTTTTTGGGCTCTTCCTTCTCGACCTTCTCGACCTCCTTCTCTTTCTTCGGTTTATCCTCTGAAAAACCGTCAGAATTAATGATTCCCCTTCAGCAGTCTCCAGATTTGATACGAACCAACTGAATGCTATCAATCAATATAATTATGGAGATATAGTCATTTTCTCAATGATATATGGCTTGCCATCTTCGAGCATACCGTATCCTCAAGTTTGCCCAGTAACATATTAACATTTGTACACCAATCGATCCATCGGAATCTCTAGATTGAAAGAAACATATTTTTGGCCGAGTGATTTTGCTTTCTTGAGGAGATATAGCTATTTTTCTAAAACCATCAACCACTCATTCACGTTGATTTGATCACTATTAATCAATTGTATTCATTAATATAGTACACGGATAAACCGTAACGGCAGCAGTGACGATGGTAGCAAAAATATCGGTGCAAGATTCCGTTCCGGATAGAATTTGATAAACTGCACTGATAAAATATTGATAGCAATGACAACAACAATAGTGTCAATCACCCACCTACTGCAGGCAATTCAGGTTTTTCTACTACTTTCTTCTCTTTGGTCTCCTTGGCGGGTGCTACCACCGGCGGTTTCTCGGCAGTTTCCTTCGGCATTTTGCCTTCCTCCTTCGGTGCCTTCTTATCACCTTTTTGTGGCGGTTGTGCTTCAAGATTATAGACGATCTTCAGCTGTCTTCTGGCCGCATTGATCGCTGCCTCTGATACCTTGCTCTGTTTCCAAGCCTTCCAGGTCTTCGACGGATTTGTACACTTCTCAGGCGCTGGTGCAAAAACGACCGTAAAATGATCGCTTTTCTTCGGTTTTTTATTCGCATCCCATTTCTTTAGAATTAATACCACTTTTTTCTGCAATTCAACAGCATAATCATAATCGCTCGCGATGAGTGCATTGAAACGATGCACATTAATCAAAAACTTGATCTTTTACCTTCCAATGAGTTTTATTTTATCATCAAGCTGTTAGTTGATAAGTGAAAAGTCCAGAAATGTGCTTTCTATTGTAATGCTAAGGTAGATGAAACCTTCTCCTTCGGTTGTATGATGCCGTAAACAGGTTTCATTTTAAACGCATCCGGCTGTGTTGTCTTCATTTTGAACACAATTGCTTTATTCCAATCGTTTTTAATTTCAATTTCATTCGTTTGTCTCTGTGTCAACGGTGTATTGAATGTTGCCTGAAAACAGTGGAGAACCAACAGAATCACTTCAATAACATCAACTTATTTGATTGATAAGTTATTGTCATATCGTTAAGTGAAGATATCATCGGGTCATTAGCATCTTTTTGTGATCAAGTTAGAATATTCCGATTATGAGATCGGTAAGAGTTAGTCTTTATATGAGAGCCAATATTTATTCTCCTCTTCGTTTCTTTCGGATTTGCTTCCTTCGGTTCTTTCACATGACATTAGGAAGGATTACTGCGATCGGAAATCAAAATATGACATCAGACATAACGACGATCAACTATTCTGATTAAGTGGAATTTTAAAACATTGACCGTTTTCAACCAGAACAATAAACATTCTTACCGAGTTGGGAGGTGATATTGAGACTTTCTTGTCCATCCTTTTCAGCAAAACGTTCAAACAACAAGGCTGGGACAACAACTGGCCACACTCTAAGCCAAGTGAATTGTAAAATGGTAAATTATTTAACTTGACAAATGAGGAAACTGAGAAATTTTCATAAAATTTGGCATAATTTGAATAAGAAATTCTTGAATAGAACTACGGTAATTAGTCAACCACATTAACAACAATTGAAGCAGCCAAAATTTCAATGGATATCCAAAACGTTGTCATCGTTTACAAATATACATATCCGGCCACAGTTTATATTCAAACGTGAAAAAGTGGCTTATCGATGAACCAGACTGCCTGATCGATAGTTTGTTGGTGGTGATGGATTCAAATTCCACTGGCTGGGGAAAGTTTCTGTCTTAAAGCCAACAGCTATTTGAATATTCCTGTGGTTATGAGCGCAAGGTAGACGACGATTGAGGTCACATTCATGAGGTAAAAGAGAATTGTCGTTGGGACGCACACACAGACAACATCGGTTGGACTCATTCATTAACATATTGATGGTCATTCCCTCATCAGAGCGATTAAATTTTTATCAATTACTCATTTCGGCGTTTTGATGTTCACTCACAGATCACAGCATCATTCACTTGATAAACATTGAAGTTTCTGACAAAATACCAATTTCATTTTACGAATACCTTTCTGAATAGTACAACTGAGTAAGCCGAGAAATTCGAGCAAAATTTAAACACCTTCATCAAACAATTTTCATGATATTGGTGCATCATTCGATTTGGAGCCGAATTCTCTGCAGCAACTGGGAGTGGAGTGGAACTCGTGACATACCAATGCCACTCAGGCAGTGTGACCTATCGCAGAGACCACTAGGCCTCTGGCGTTTTCTTGGATTCAGTTTTGCAATCACCTTTTGAGCACACATTGGGGAAAAGTGATCTGATAAGTGTTATACGTCACGAGCTGATTTTTGGAAGCACATTTTCGAATGTGTTCATTCGTAACAATAACGACAACTGATTGAAAACACTATAAAGTTTTTTAATGTTTTGCACAAATATTCTATCGCAATACAATACGTTCAGCTGTATAGACACATCCTATGCATAAAATTAATGCCGTTGCAGGAATTCCCAAGAACTTGAATATTCGTTCATGTTTTGCTCACTTTGATCTTCGCTGCTCGACGCTTTTCGTTGCTCGATTTGAATCAACTCTGTTCGCATTACAAACGGAGCGCTACTCAGCCACTTTGAGTTTAGCACGTCTTCGTAGGTGAGTCGTTCCGTAGGGCTTGGATTCAACATATCGTAGATTAATTCCTTGACTTCATCACTCAAAAAGATCAGTTTCGGGAAGCTCAGTCTGAAATAAATAATTCAAGAGTAACTTGAATCACACCTATACATATTTCTCACAAAATTGTAAAATCACTAGTTACGAATTAATACCACAAGCATACGGGATTTAGAATAGCAAATCTGATCGACCCTCTCATCAGGTGATCAAGACGATTATTTCACTTATGGAGCTGGTTTAAAATGCAAAATGTTTTATCACAATGATAGAAATGCAACTAAAGTTCAAAAAATTGTCATTTATTGAAGTCGCACAAAGAATTCATGATATGGATGTTATGCTATTGTGTTTATACTTGCGACATTCATCTATTGTAATTGTAAAACGCCACAGCTCGTTGGTATAAAACAGCGGACGCAGCTAGCAGAGCAACAAACCTGTGCTTCATTTGCTTTTTCAACATCTTTTTCGGATTATCGAAATTAAACGGCATCACACCAGTTATCATTATGTAGAGCACTACTGCGGCACTCCAAACGTCCACCGAAAAACCGTTGTATGGAATTTGCCTCAAATAATATTTCTTGATATGCGTTCACAACTATCCAAAACGTGAAAATTCATATAAATGTCCAATTGCAAGTAATAGAATTTTATGAGTTTGAGATTTATGCGAGTGGAATCAGTCATCGTAATGGTGACTTAATCTGAAGGCATTGAATTCAATCTAAAAGCAGCGATAAAGGCGACAATAATTTGTAACCACAATCGTAGCAACAGCGATAATGGTGGTTATTAGTGATGGCATCTGAGTGAAATTTCGTGTCGCTTGGAATCAGTCTGACATAAATTTCCACCATTCCAACAGTCGGAATTCCGTCTGACCGTCGGAGCAGTTCGGTCGGAATCCAGTCGAACTGGCATTTCGTCATTCCGACGATCGGAATACCGATCGACCTCCCAAACTGCTCGGTCGGATCCCGACCGTTGGAATTTCGACCGAAAGTGTCGGATTTTTCCGACGGACTGTCGGTCCGATGCCATCACTAGTGGTTATGATAACGCTAATAATGTGAATGAACATAATATTGATAATAATAGCGATATGAAGATAGGGTTAACAACAATGAAATATGCTAATAACCGCAATATCTCTGGTGCTGCATAGGCTCGCGATCCACAAAACGTTCTCGAGAATTCACCGTCGTTCAGGTGTCGCGCGAAACCAAAATCGCATAATTTCACATTGTCGAAAGCATCCAACAGAATATTCTCACATTTCAAATCACGATGTGCTACTCGAATTGATTTTAGATACTGAAACAACACTCCCACCAGATCTCATACGGTTTTAGTTACTGTATTGCAGGTGATGAACAATTTCCAGACTCCTGTCCCCATTTCACCGTCCCCGACGACGACGTTTTTCAAGACGGCCACATTTTTCAGCTCTCGGACTGCAAGTCTCGTCCCCAACATTCCCCGTCTTCGACTCCTTTACTCCTCCGCAACATACTTGTTTCAGCAATATGTGAGAGTGTGTTTTAATCTCACATCTTATGATTTTTGTCGAACTGAGGCTCAGTTTTGCCATTAGGTTTATGCTTAATCGTGTGCTTTAGCTTAAACTTAGATGGATTGAAATGTGTCCCATTTGAAAGTTTGTAACCGTGCGATGCTTAATAATCGGCATTTGATCGAAGAGAACTCGCACAGTTCTCTTCAATGCAAAAGAGAGCTTGCATACTTAGTTCTCTTAACATTGGATAGAACTCGCACAAAAACAGTCCTCCTCATTTAAGAGAACTATGCTAGCCAGCCAGCTCTCTCTTGGAATGTCAACTTCACGATTTCTCATGCACCAGTCAATATCGGAACCAACCTTGAGCGCTTCGATTATTTGTCGGAAGAAGAAACGACTTTCATCCTCATTTAATCTTTTTTTACATTTAATCCTATGTAAAAGATCACCATTGGTCGCATACTCTTGCACCAAGCAAACAATCGGTCCAGAGCAAATTATCTGTGCGAGAAGATCAAATGAAATGACCAGATTTCAGCAGATTATACGACAAATCGAAGGAAACAAATGAGCATTAGAGCATTGTTGCTGATTTGCACTGAGTTGTGCTCATTCCAATAACTGCTTAAAGATCGATAAATTAATCAGTGCTTGAACTTGTTGTTCCACTACGCGAACAGCTAACGAAAACTCACATCATAAACTTTAATGATGTTAGCATGATTGAGACTTGGAACAATCCGTAGCTCTCGTGGAAGAAATTCTCGTATATAACGTGATGGCATTCTGAAATTAGGCATTCTGAATCGTATTTTCACTGAAGATGCCAAATCTCAGTGGCAAAAAATTATTTCCGATAGAAGATGTGTCATCGTGCTTGTGAACACTATCACTAAACCAATACATTCGACGGTCACAATGAATTCCTCTAAAATCACCTTTTGTCTATGATTTTAATAGCAACAAATTTCGAATGCCTTGAACTCCAAGCTTTTTTCACCGTAGAATACGTTCCTTTACCAATTAATTTCTTGCACGATACTCCATTACTCTCTAGTTCGGCCATTATTCTCGATGAATAAACACTGTTTTCATCATGCGTTGCTTGTGACATCTCGCATTTGGGCACACAGTTTTCTCGTTAGCAACTGTACGCAATAAAACAGCTTATTGAACGGAATGTGTGCAGTTCGATGTAAAGTGATCGAATGAAAGATATTTCTGAATTCATTAGAATATGCTGAAACTTGAGTAAGGCAGTTATATGCTCAAGTAGAAAGGTTCACTGGAATCCTTCAGAAACCATCATGTACTCCTTACATATAGACATGGAGTTATCGTTGCGGATCGTACTGAAGTAATCCGCAAAGACGACAAGTATGGACAAGTTGACTTCAATTATGGATTAAGGCGATTTGACCTAGTCAATCAAAAACTGATCTCGACTCATCAACCATATTAAGAATTTTCGAAGTACTGTCCTCACACTCGATACTGAACAGAACTCCCTGTTGAGCTAGAGCTGACCTGGCGACACGATGCGTTAACCAAAAATAGCCGATTAAAATAAGCGCACTTAGACACGCTTCTCTAATTTCGCATTCGATTACATCATTTTGCATAACTTATATATTGCTATCATGGTTATCCACAAAATCGTTCAATCAGCATCAAAGATACAAAACAGAAATTCCGATTATCCTACGATATTGTACCATCTCCCCCGGGAGCATTACATCTAATGGGTTTCTCCAAATAAGTGGTGTATTCCAACGTCTGCAGTTTCAAAATTTTACATGTATTAGCGATTAAACTCCATGCTAGTTTTATTGCTTAGACTTACTTGCTGCAGACTCAGCCCGGCTTAAAGTTCAGTCATCTTTTTTTCAGTGTTAGTTGCTTTGAATATGCACACAAGATCATTAATGACTAATAATATTTTATTACCAAACATATATCAAAAAATGCTGATAAAAATTCCCATGATGAACAAAACGAACATGACAAGCATATAAGGGCACATCTCTGCACAGCATTGTAGTAATGCAGTGTAGGGTTGGGTCTTGGGCGAAATCAAGGTCAGGGAATTTTGGTGAGAAACAGGGCAGGAAGTTAGCCAGCGCTAACTGCGATTCATTTTGCTCATTCCCAGCTGCACCAAGCATATTTTCGCCGTTTCTTTGTGCTAAAGAATCTTCGAGGGCGAAATCCAGTTCGAGAGACTAAAAACGGAGAAGGGAAGGGTGGAAAGCTGCGAAAATCTCGTGGATGCTCAACTGTCCTCGACGCCCAAGGGACGCAGCTTGTATGTTGTCATACACAGGTTCTCAAGAAGACTTCAAATGATAGAAATAATCTAAACAAGATACTGCTATTATTGAAATTGGACGATGAGTGAACAAAGTAATATTTCTTGAAACAACTCATCTTCCTTATCTAACGCAGAAATACAAGAAAAGAAGACAAAGTTACAATTGAAGACAGTTGGGTCGAAAGCGTTTTACAACGTATCAACCTCCTCAACATATATTACATGTCTTCTTGCACCATTCCCTGAGGTCCTCACTGTACTCATCATCGCAGTATTCCTTAAACTCACCGCAATTGATCACTTCGTCCTCACAGTCTTGAGGTGCTGGTCCAGGTGCGGGTCCAGGTGCTGATCCGTCACCTGCAAGTTCACTTGCTTTTCATCGCTTCTTATTCCATTTACAACTGCAGATTGAACAGGTCAGGGATTTTTTGGCAGTCGTCATTCGAGCATTTATCGAGTGAATTGAAAATGATCGATTTGCT